CGATGGCACCTAACAACAACAAGGTAAGAAACCTTCAGCTTACACTTACTTGGTCATTTGGAAAAGGTTGGGTAAAGGGATTGTTTATAGCTGTGTGAACAGTGTGCTGGGAAATCACAAAATAAGAAACAAAACTTTAGGGTTAGGAGGATCTAGGGAAATGGAGCAGTACTGGAACCCAGAAAGGCAGCATACTTGGAGAAGACTTTGTAACAAAATGGTGATCTTTGGATGAAAGACACAGTGTGTCCGTGGCATAGAGGAAGCTGTAGGGTTAAGTATCTAAGCCCCAATTTTCTACTACTATGATTTCCTCCCGGTTGTCTTTTTTTTTTTTTAAAATACTAGTTTATTTACAAAATTAGAATACATTTTCCCCCCAGAACATATTCTTTCAATTTCCCTTATCAAATTGTGTAACTCCATGATCAATTTCCCCTCACCCTGAATATCTTCGTTCCTCTGCTTCCACTCTCTCCTCTTGGCTCCTTATACTCATTCTGCAATAATGGTTTTATACAGTATTTGTCCTTGAAATTCCATATGACCCAGCTATTCCACTACTTGTAATATACCCCGAGAAAATGAGTACACCAGTGTTCGTAGAGTCATTATTCACCATCGCAAGAACATGGAAATAGCTCGGATATCCAAGCACAAATGAATGGATTGATAAATTATGATACATTAACACAATGGAATACTACGCATGCAGCACACAGGAGCAATGATTTTGTTTCCATCTTTTTCTTATAATCTTTTTGGTTTGGGATTTTACCCCTAGCTTTCTGATCCACTTTGAATTCGTTTTTGTGTAAGAGCAAGATGTGGATCCGGTTTCATTTTCTGCAGGTAGAGGTCTAGTTTACTAGCACTGTTTGTTAAAGAGGCTGCTGTTTCCCCATTTAATGGTTTTATTACTTTGTCAAATATCAGTTGACTATAGATTGATGGGTTAATTTCTGGAGTCTTTATTCTATTCCATTGATCTATCTGTTGTACAAATATCATGCTTTTTTGATTACTATTGTTGTTTACTGCAGAGTTGGTACTGACCATAACTGACCCTCTGGTATGATTTCAGAGGCAGTTAATCATACAGAAGGAAAATATCAATCCTTCTCCCGCGGGGCAGCTGGTGGCCTCAAACCGCTTATCTCTGGGATTGCAGCACAGCTTCTTGCCACTAGCACACCAGAGCTCCTGTGTAATAGGTTTTCAGATCAGGAAGTGAGATGCCATCAACTTGATTTTTGTTTTTCAGAAGAACTTTGCTTATTGTGAGTCTTTTTCCTTTACAAATGAAACTGGAAGTTGCTTTTTCTAACTCTTTGAAGAATAAATTTTGTATCTCTTTTGAGATTGTGTTCAAGTAGTAGATTGCTTTTGGTAGGACTATAATTTTCACAATCTCAATTTCAATCTTTCTATTCACGAACGGGGAATACTTTTCTATTTTGTTATATCTTTTATTGTTTTTTGTACTAGTGTTTTGTAGTTCTTCTTTTAAAGATCTTTTGTGTCTCTAGTTAGGTTTATTCCTAAGTATCTAATTTTGTGGTTGGCTATTGTAAATGATAACTGCTTTTCTAGTTTTCATGATTTCTTTGCTGCTGTAGAGAAATTTAATTGATATTTGCATATTGCTCTTGAGTCCTGCCACTCTACTGAAGGATTTAATGCTAGGCCTAACAGGTGTTTTGTGAAGTCCTTGGAATTTGCTTTGTACACTAGCATGCCATCTGCATGTGGTGACAATTTCACCACTTCTTTGCCAATTTGGATATCTCTAATTTCTTAGTCTTGCTTTACTAACCTAGTTAGGATTTCCAATGTAATACTGAATAGGAGTGGTGATACTGGACAGCCTTCCCTGGTCCCTGTTTGCAAGAGGAATATCTTAAATCTCTATCCACTGGGAATGATGTTTGTGATTGGTTTTGCATATATCCTTTTTATTAAATTGAGACAATTAACTTCTATTTCTATTTTTCTGAGAGTTTTCATCAGGAAGGGATGTCAGATTTTGGTAAAGGCCTTCTGTGCATCAATTCATGGAATCATGTGGTTCTTGTTCTTTGTTTTGTGCTTAAAGAGCAGGAAATTGTATATGGAGACACAGGGCCACAAACATCTTTCTGAAAGGGCCAGAGGGAGTGAGAATAGCATACACCTCAAGACCCCAGAATAGAAAGCAGATAAAGAGCCTGCAGCCCAATTCCATAGTGCTTCTGGAACCACACCAGCAGCAAGAGGTTTGTTCATTGTTGACTCACAGACTTTATTCACAGTTGTGGTACCAAGTGTGGGGTTTATTAAGGAACCAGGTTGGGGAATGAGAGAGGCAAAGGATATCTCACAAGGTAAGTCTAAGTTTAGTCCAGCAGTCCCAAGCCAGATAAACAGCAAAAGACAATTCTTTAAGTAGTAAAAGTCCTGGATTCAGTTCAGCAATATAAATTCAAGAAGCTCTCTAGTTTCCTCAATCATCTGGTAAAGTTTGCATCAGAGCAGTTGTAAGTTAGCTTCTGCTTCAAGTATCTGGTAAGAATAACCAAACCTTTAACTGCACAAATACAAGAAGCCTCAGGTCACTCCTTGGCACAGTTTCTCCACAGCAGTGCCACAGTCTCTCCACCACCATCCTTAGGGTCTCAGCACCATTGTCACTTTCACCATGGTCTTGCTCTAGTCTCCTTCAAGTTTTACTACCTAGTGTGGGAAGTACTTTCCCTTATATCCTAGTTACACAACTGCTGATAATTTGCAAGACCATGTGCCTGCAGTTAAGGGAGCTGGTGACTAGAGGGGGCTAAGGTAATGGCTAATAAAACCAACTTTAGGCTAACACTCCAGCCTGTCCTCTGGCTATTCTATCTATTATTTCTTATTATCTACAGGATCAGCCTTCCACTTACCATCATATATATTTAGGGAAATATGTAAGCCAGTTTCTTTACTCCTTATATCTTAATACCTACATTTTAGATAGCCAACTTTTAATTTGTTCAGTCTTATTAAATTAGTATAGGAAACTAGTCTGTCTTTTTCTCTTAAGAATCTTCTATTGCACACCACAACAAGATAAAGATAAATAATCCAATAGAAAAATGGGCACAGGATATGAACAGACACTTCACCAAAGAAAACATTCAGATGGCTTATAAGCACATGAAGAAATGTTCAAAATCCCTAGCT